TTTTTTTTTTTTTTTTTTTTTGCCTCGGCTTGGTACAGATCTGAGAACTATTCCGTAAGTCTAGTTACATTTCTGAGTTTTCTTTTCGTCGATTCTGTCGTGTCTGGCATTTGTCCATTTGTGTGCAGGCCACGGTCGAAGGTAACGTGACCTCAAAATTTATCAAGAGGAGCATATATTGGTTGACATCAACGGTGATGTGGATATGTGTGTGGGTTTGCCTTGTATATGCTAAACTTTGTGCTTTTTATTCTTGGAAGAAACTGTGAGTCTATTTTATGATTTACAGGGGTTTAAGGGAAAGTGGCTGGGGAGTTTTTTTTTGGTGGGGGGGGAGGTTTCGGGGTCGCACAGTCACAATGATGTTAAATGCTGAGAGGATAAGGGTCAGGCCCCGCTTGTGCTATGCCGTGCTAGGAAATCATGAACCTGACCACTGTCACATCCGGGTTCATGCTTTCCAGGCGTGCTCACAGCACGGTAGTGAGGCAGCCCCTAAGATACAACTGCTACTCAGTGAGTACTAACCACCATGGACGACACAGAAGGACATGAGCTGATCGTTCACATGATTGGCTGCTGGCCATGTCAACACACTGACCTGCCCATGTGCCCATCATGCTGCAACGCCATGCCTTAACGACTACTTTGCCTTGCAATTTCACATTACTGGCTTTCGCAATGGGCCAATCCCTCCCGACGACATGTGTTTGTCTGTCGTTCTTGAAGGCCGGGAATATGTATTTACTTATTGTAGTCTTACCTCTACTCGGTAGTTTAGTAGCAGGCGTGTTTGGTCGCTTTCTTGGTTCACGAGGGGCTGCCTTGGTAACAACCACTTGTGTTTCAATTTCTTCAGGTCTGTGTTTCATAGCTTTTTATGAGGTTGCATGGCCCATGCAGGACTGTGGGAATAGTGTGCCCGTTGTTCAAGGTTTCCTGGACGGTACCTTGAACTCAAGTGTGGAAAAGGCAAAGGCAGATTGTTTGTTCAGCGTTTTCAGGGTTTTTCAGGGTCATTATAACAACCGTCGCACACGTTTTAAGCCAGACTTGTCGTCACCAGTCCATAGAGTGGACAGCAAATAAACCAACAGCAAAAAAAAAAAAAAAAAAAAAGGTGAAAAAATGGATCAAAGGGGCCTGAAACCCCAAGGCAAAAGTGTGTTTTCAACTTTTCATGCAAAATTCGCTCTTTTGAGTCTTTTGAGTCTTTTCAGGATTTTCGGGGCTGGCCAAAACTGTCATCTCCAAGACCCCAACAAACACCATACTTGGCACACGTAAATGCACTTTTCAGTGTTGGGGGTGTTAACCTGGGCCTGAAAATTGGGGGTCCCTGTTAACCACTTGTGTGGCGTTCAAGATTGACTGCACCTGTCGGACTATCTATGTTGTCTTGGCAAACAGGTTAGGCTTCAGTCCCATGAAGGGCAGACTAAGTTTGCACCATGGCACACGAGGAATGCCAGGATCCGTGTACCTGGTATTCAAGCATTCCTGGACAGTTTTAACGATGTTCCTCCCAAGGTGGAAAAGACAGTTCTTCCAATGTGCGTTCAAAAGCAGCGACCAAATGTCAGACACAGACTATGTACATTGCCGTGGAAAAAAGGTTTGGGTGCTGGGGAATAACATTGGACCAAGGTCAAGGGCGGACTCGACCAGTGTGGAACAACTTACCGAACAAGCCCCTCTTTTCTCTGTGTCTTCTTCCCATCCCCTTTTTTATGTTGTCTCCTCTCTTTAGGAAATGAGTTTAGATTCTATCTTTTTGGGCGGAGTTAGTCAAACCGACCTTTTGTAAAAAAAAAAATTAAAAATTAAAAATTGCCCTTTCTTCCACTTTTTTCTCCTATTGTTCCGCCAAGGAAAGGGACAACCTTGGAATTCTCTCTCTCTCTCTCTCTCTCTCTCTCTCTCTCTCTCTCTCTCTCTTTTTTTTTTTTTTTCTCCAACCCCCCTTTTATTCTGGGGGGCACCACTGGGGGGCACCACTGGGGGGCACCAATCCACTTTTTTCTCCCATTGTTCCGCCCAGGTAAGGGACAGCCTTGAGATTGTTTCTCTCTCTCAGAGTCTCTCTCTCTCTCTCTCTTTTTTTTTTCCCAACCCCCCTTCTATTCTGGGGGGCACCACTCCACTTTTTTCTCCCATTGTTCCGCCCAGGAAAGGGACATCCTTTAAATGTTTCTCTCTCTCTCTCTCTCTCTCTCTCTCTCTCTCTCTCTCTCTCTCTCTCTTTTTTTTCTTTCCAACCCCCCTTCTATTCTGGGGGGCACCACTCCGGTTGCTTCTTTTACCAGCACGCAGAAAACAAGGTCAAGTGTCCAACACACAATCGCTAATTCCGAAACCTAAGCTTTCAGACTTTAGCAGATGGCCGGTACTACATTTCAGTCAATTTTCTTTCCTTCTAAATGCGAGGCGGAAGGTGGCAGGGGGCTGGTGGCAGGTGGCAGGTGGCAGGGGGCAGGGGGCAGGGGGCAGGGGGCAAGGACAGGGGGGCAGGGTGCACTAGAATCCGACCTAAAAAGGCGATTTCTAGAGCCAAGTGGACCACAAATCGGTTTATGGAAAACTAATCACAAAATTCCTCTCGGATCTGAAACCCTAAAGGTTCTAGAGTTCTTTTGGTGTACTGAACGAGGCCTTAATCCATGCAAACGGGGGCTGGGGCATCTGGCAGGGGGCAGGGGGCAGGGGGTAGGGATAGGGGGCAGGTATAAATCTTATTTTTCCTTTCCTTGTAAATGACAGGTGGCAGGTATAATTTTTTCTTTTCCATTGCGTTTTTTTTTTTCCTGTCCTTGTTGTATCCTTTTTTTGGGTATCAATGCAGAGGTGTTTTGCCAACTGGCATCAATGGGAATCATACGGTCAGTGGGCGAAGACAAGTACATCATCAGTGCGATCAGCAAGTCAGAGGCAAGTATCGGACATCGTGTTTCTTCTTTTTCAAAATGGAACATAGAGTCAATCACTGCTTGCATCAAAATATCAAAGATGTATTAGAAATTTAGAATTTAAATTTAAATCGAGTACCACAGAGCATACATCTTTGCATGTAGTGTGTGTGGCAGGCACTGGCAGCAAGTGCAGTCATCATCCTTCTCAGCCTCTCTCGGCTCAAGCAATCACTAGGACGATGGGGAAAATACAGAAGTGGGAAAAGTAAGGGTATGTGAAAGTGAACCCATCAAAGATGAAGGGAGAAGGGCAACGGGTGAAATTGGAGCTTAAAACCAATCCCTACATCAGCAAGAAGATTTTTAGGGTTTAGGGTTTAGGGTTTTGACCCCTCCACCCCCCTTTAACCCTAAAGGCTACAACCCCTTCAAACGTCTCCTTTTTTAGAAGGGTGACGGCAGCGACTTGATAATTCTTCCAAGGCTTCCTGTACAGGGATCTGGTACTTAATCCTGGCAGTATTCTTTTGGTAATTTCTTCCTCATTCGTCAGCAGGCCGGGGGGGGCTCAGATGTCCCTTCGGGGGAAGCAGCTGAGCAACGGACTGTGCGCAGTATTCTTGTTCTTTCTTCAGCAGGACGGCGGGGGCTAAGCTGTCCCTTGGGGCTGAAGCAGCTGAGCAAAGGAGTGTGCGTGGAGTGTTTAAGTTCTAGTGTTTGCACCTGAGTAAAGGATTCTGCGTGCTCAGCCCTTTAAAGACGGATTTGAGCCGGCATTTGTGGGTTTCCAGTCCAATACATTTTACCTTTATGGTACTTGAGCCTTCAATTTGATTGATGAAAAAAGAAAGGTCCGAAACATGAGGTTTTTTTTTTTTCAAAATTTTTTAAAAATCAAATTCGTGTTTGACTCATACGCGGGAGTATTCTATACTGTTCAGTGGAACAAATAAAAGATAACATGTCCTTCAGGACATCCGTTAAAATTGGAACGATACAGAGAAGATTGGCATGGCCCCTGCACAAGCAGGAAAAAAAAAAAGAAGAAGAAGAAGAAGAAGAAGAAGATAACATGGTGGTGGTTGCAACAGGGCTGAAAACTTAGCCCAAGTAAAGGATAGGTGTTAATTAAGTAAGGCTCAAACCAAGTCAACTAACTCATTACACCCTTTGTCTTCTGTCGAGAAAGCGGATCCAGGAGGGAATTTGTGATGCCTTCTGATTGTTGAGGGGAAAAAACAAGAAAAAAAAAGAAAAGAGAATGTTCTCCTCCTCCTCGCTCCTCACCGCAGAGTCTTCAACGGTAGCCACTCGGTATCAGTCTTGTGCAATGAATTGTTGGTTCTGCAGCCGACAGCCCATCGTATTGAGGCTGTAATATAGTAGGGTAGATTCACAATTCTACTTCTGTCAGGGACTAACCGCGAGTTCAGCTTATGGAACATTCGTGAGGGACATATCTGTTATGACCCGGACCAATTGCGAAGTACAAATTCACCAATAAAGCACAATGCTGCCCAATTGCAAAAGAAATGAATGAACTTGAGAGGATTGAGAGGATAAGAAGAAGAAGAAGTAGTAGTAAGAAGGAAGAAGATGAAGTACACCAGCAAAGAACCAATGTCAAAGCACTTCTCCTTCGCTCAACTTCTCACTCCATATGTCCCCCTCTCTTATATTCAAACAAGAATTATTGCAACAATGCTGACCAGCTGATCCAGAATCAAAG